CCCCTAGAGATGAGAGAGGGGACAGGGCAGAGGCATTCAAAGGGAGAACCTGTCCACTTCCAAGAGAGAGGCTGCCAAGAAGGAATCCACGTTAATTTGGAAGAAGTCAGATAATTTTCCTGTCTTTCAGGAAACTCAGCAGCACTAAAGGGAAAGTTTTTACAGCACAGGGGTACTGACCGTGGTTAGTCAGTAATTCTTCTTGCTTGTTTGCTGATATGGCCAATGTAAAGTAGAAGCAGAAGTAAAAAGTTCTCCAAAGTAAAGGAGAAGTATGTTAGACAAGGCCAAGATTCCTTCCCTATATTATGCTCAAACAGGCATTATTTACATCAATGCTGCAATTTTTTTATTTTTGAGGGTTGTTGAGGTATTACCAAAACCAGGGAGAAGGGGAATTAAACGGCAAATAAAACATTTCATCCAACAAAATTTCTGTAAGAAATAGTAACTCTACCATCACCTACCCTTCTCAAATTGATAGCATTAGAGACAACTCTTACACCTTAAATCAGCTGAACAGCCAATAAAATTAGCTCTCCAGGAAAGCTAATAAGGAGTGGATAATAAACAGAGTAGAATGAAAGACCAACCAGGACAAAACAAATGCTGATAAAATAAGTGACATCGCAGGGAAAGTTAATGGAAATATGTTCTTCTGTTGCTGTGCTCATTTAGCACACAGCAGAAAAAAACCAAAGCACAGTCATTAAGAAAAACTATTGAAATACACTTCACTAAACTAAGACATTAGTAAATGAGTATTTTTTTTATTCCACGGTAACTGAAAATTCTGTTTTGACGTTACACATTATCAAATAATTAGCAATATTAAGGCACCTATAAATTATAAATGAATTGAAATTATTACAAAAACATATATATGCTTTAAAAAAACACATCACTTGATCCTCACTTACATTTAAACTGCAAAAGCAAAAGAGGTGTATTTATACTGCAAAAGCAGACCAAAAAGATTGTCCTGTCATTTCACTCAGGATGAATGAAAATAACCCATAAGATTTCACTGTAAAAAATAAAAACCATGTCAGAAATCTAACATCTGAAAACTTATGCTAAATATACTTCCAATAAAGCATTAGCTCCCAAGCTTTCTGAATGGTTAAAAAACCTCAGTAAAGTCTCTCAGCACCTAGAGCCTGTCCATTGTTTCCAAGCACAGCAGAGATGCCAGAGATGTGACTTTACGACGTATGGGCATCTCTGCACCAACACAGAAAGAAAATGAAGCAGGATCCTGCCCACGCTTTGGCTGAAGTCTCTGGAAGGGACCATCTGAGCCACATCTGGATCTAACCGCTCCAGGAATTTTCACTTCTAAGAATTTGAAAAATCACCAGTTTTGGAAAGAGAGAAAAAGGACACGGCGTGATGGTGAGTACACAATTCTCACTATCGAATTGCAGTAATTATACTGCTTTGTTTCATAAAGTCTTGGGCCAGAGTAAGTTTATTAGAACATAAGCTGTGCAAATCCTATCATGAGGCCTCTGCCTGAAAACTTAACTGCAGAGACTACTTTTTGTAAGATGTGACAACTAACAAAAAAGCCATACAGAAAAAAAGGATTCTTCTTCCCTAACATAATGTTTCTGAAGGTGCAGTGAATTTTTAAATTCATTTCTTCCAAAACATAAAATATATGTGTATAAAAAAAGCCAAATGTCATACAGTCCATGGTCTTCCTAGGAATTCAAAATCAGCTGGTAGCCCTCACTTCTCATACCTCCTTACTAAAAAAGCACTAGGGAATTGCTGACAGGGTTCAGCATTGTGCAGAATATTAAATATCTTTTTTGCAATACCCTGGTGACTCTTGAGTCTGTCTCTTACAGCACCATATGTACAGCTGTGTTGGAAAGAGGAAGCTATTAAATATATTAAAAAGTAGAAATATTACCAATAGACACTTCATCAAATAACTGGATCTCATTCATCCCCAGACAAAGCAAGAAATGTTAAGGTTACATCAACATAAGAAAATAACTCTGGATTTAATAACACCACAAGCCTGTTGAACATATTTGAAAGTAAAAACATTGCTTAATAAAACAGATTAGTGTTTCTGAAACAACGAATATAGCTTTCAACCATCAGAACGCTTCGGTAATAAAGACATTGGACTTGGTCTTGAAAGGCACTGGGTGTCTCAGTTCCCACACCGCAGCCACGGCTAGAAGGTCTTCGGGTCCAAACATATTACCCCTAGTTTACTGCCAACACAGGCCTAGGAATATCTTGTATCAAAAAGGATTTAATAAAGGGAAAAAAAAGAACGAGTGTTTTTTTGAGATTGCATTTGCAAATACATTCTTGAAAGTTTGCCCTCCTCCCACGTACACGTACAGCTATTGCATCCACATCTCCCACTGGAGCTGCGTCAAGGAGACAACACGCGCCCGCCTTCCGCAGGGGCCAGGGAAGCCCCAGGGCTCTCCAGGGAACCCCCAGGGCTCTCCAAACGCCCCCCAACACTTCGGGACTCGGAACTATTGACTCAAAAGTGGGTTTCCAGAAGGACGATTTCTAAGCACCTAGACACCGACAGGAACACTACACTTTGAGTGGCCCTTATCACCTAAGGATTTAAGTCGGCGTTGAGCGAGTACGTGCTGCCAAAAACCCCACTGCCCTCCTTCCTGCTTTTACACTTACACAGGACCTCTGCGGCTCTAGAAGCCTAACACCCATCGATTCTTACTGAGATTTGCTATCTTAAACGCTCAAGTAACTTCTGAAAATAGGACTTAGGCTGTTTGCAAAAAATCTCCCCACAGGACCCCATTTTCACTGAGCTGTGCACAGCTCCCAGGCAAAGCTCAGCGCTCTCAGGGAGCCCTGCTAATTCCAGCAGTGGTCCAGGGAAGCAGCACTGCACGTTTAGATCCCATGAGTTCCTCTCTCACCCTTCAGAGAAAGAAATGACTGAAACAACTACGAAGCCCTGCTAAACTGCACTACTTCATATAAAAATACTGAAGAGATCTGAGTGTTTATTTAGCCATCACAAGGAGTGCGTTAATTACCCCACTTACAAATTTTTGCAATAATTTTGTCAGACTCCAATACTGCTTTTGATAAAATCGGTGCAAAAGCATACGGCTCCTCCAGTGGAAAAGGTTTATTGCTCGAAGTAATACACGAATAATTTACGTATTTTCCTCTATTCCTCCACATATTCCTAATTAGATTTACAAAGTTTTTACAGTTAGTAGCATTTCTGCTTTGTAAATTCACCCTTTTTTCTGTAGAGAAGCTAGTGGTATAAGCTGAGCCAACTGCTTACTGACTTGCAAGATAATTACAACTGATGACTAAAGACTATTTAAGATGCATGTCTGAAGAAACTTTTTGAGTCAAGCGTAAATAGAAATTAAGACCCCTAAGGCTACAGGTATTACTATGCATTGCATCAAGATAACTGGTTTGTCCTTAAAAAGACAAGCAATTAAAAAGTATCATACTTCAGACCACAAACCCACAAGAGATTCTGCACAGACACGTTCTTTCCTAATATATGCTTAATGAACATGCTGTTCTACTAAAAATTTAATTTGCAAAAAAATAAACCACACCAGGGCAGGGACAGCTTTGAGTTGTCTTTGGCGGTCCTTCAACCTCAGCCACTGCACACAAGCAAGGACCAGGTTTTGAGATGGTTTCTGCAGATACGGTCACCTGACCAATAAGACCTGGCTGGTGTTGCTGTACTGATTTCTGCCTCCAGCTGCCCAATCCAGCTCCGCTGGAGGATCACGCCTCCCCAGCACTCAGCAACGGCCAAACAATGCCAACCTCTCAGTCACAAACTCCAGCATCTTACCACAGACCCACCACTGCTAACAGAAGAAACACCAGACTTTAACAGTGGAGATTCAGGCACAGGAGTCTCTACTCCACCAAAGAGATTCTAGAGGAGGAAAGGCACCCAGGGCAGGAACCTTTTAACCACCACAGAAAGATCTGTCAGTGCTCATATGTCACTGTCTTCACAGAGGTAGCTTGGAGATCTCCATGCTGTTCTTGGACTACTTCTGTGGGACAAGCATAGCTAAACCAAACCCAAACCACACAGTCATGGGCACACCTGCAGTACCCTTACGCCTGTGGTTTATTACCATGCACTTTGGAGGAAAAATTACACTAGTACCAGAAATCTTCATGCAACCATGTCCTAACCAGAAATTATAACAATTTTACTTATTTAGTTGAAACGCAGAGAGTTAGGTACCTTTACACTTCAGCCACCCAAACTGCTGTGATGGGTTTTTTGTTTTTGGTTTTTTTTTTTTTTTTTTTATTCTAGTGACAAAATTGACTGGTGAACAGCAATTTTATTTGGCAAAGGCTTATATAGGAAATGATGGAACCTGCAACAGCAGAAATTTGTCTTCAGTCATCTCAGCTGAGGCCTGCTGTACAGGGCAGCCTGCAGGATCGTGGCCTCAGACTAACCAGGATCAGAAAAGCACTGTGCTGCTGTGGTAGGCCTTTGGTAAGTCACAGTTCACTGACCACCAAAACACAAATATAAAGACACTTGGCTGCAGCAATGGAAGAGAAACATTTTTAAAGAGAACACCACCAAGCTTCAAGGGAATCTGAGTTTCATATATGGTTCAAACTGAGGTAGGAATTGAACAAGGATATGGCCCAGTACAGCATGAAGAAAAATCTTTAAAAAACCAGACTACAAGAGTTAACATTGCACACAAGAATTTGTCAAAAATTGTTAACGTTATTGACACTCCTCCCCTGTGCAGGGTGACCACTGTGATTACAGTAAACTTCTCTCAGAAGAGGTCAGGCCACAATGACATAACTGTATACATTAGGGGCTCTGAACACACCACAGAGAAGAGAAAGGTCCCAATTTCATTTCAAAGTACGTTGATAGAAAGGCTACTATTTCCCAACCTCCCCAAGTGCTAGGCTACACGGAATACAAATTAGAATGAAAAAAACCAACCATCACTTACTCCGTTTTCCTTCTTTGCTTGTCTTCAAAGATATCATTCAGACTTATCGCCACCTGTCCCAAAAATTTGTCCAGCCCCACCAGCGACCTGTGCATGACAATCAGGTACAGGATGTATTTTTCTGGATTCTCCTGCATGAGTAATCCAGGGAGCTCGAAGGAGGCCTCTTCTTTCCAGATGGGATCCAGGGTCTTCTCGGCCACCGAGGTGGAGTACTTCTCCTTGCCCAGCTGTATGATGGTGTAGGCGTCGTTGCTGCCATTTTTACCTTTTGGCCTCAGACCTTTGGCTTGAAGGACCGTCACCTGCACGTGAGTCGGGAACCACTTCTGGGCTTGCTCTGCCAGCATCATCTTTGGAGATCGCAGCGGCAACCCCAAGCCCGCGAGCCTTCGAGTTACTGCGTAAGGGCACTTACGGCGGAGACACCTGCCAGGGGCTCAGCGCGGTCCTTCCTCCAGCGCCCCTCGCCCCTCCTCAGGTTGCCCCGTCCCCACGCAGCCCTACCTGCGCC